AAAAAAAAAAAAAAAAAAAAGAACCATTCCTTTGGCTGGGCTTCATGGCACATGCCTGTAATCCCAGCACTTCGGGAGGCTGAGGTGGGCAGATCACTTGAGATCAGGAGTTTAAGACCAGCCTGACCAACACAGAGAAACCCCATCGCTACTAAAAACACAAAATTAGCCAAGCGTGGTCACACATGCGTGTAAACCCAGCTACTTGGGAGGCTGAGGCAGGAAAATCGCTTGAACCTGGGAGGTGGAGGTTGCGATGATGAGCTGAGATCACGCTACTGTGCTCCAGCCTGGGCAACAAGAGCAAAACGCCATTTCAAAAAGAAAAGAGGCCGGGCGCGGTGGCTCAAGCCTGTAATCCCAGCACTTTGGGAGGCCGAGGCGGGTGGATCACGAGGTCGAGAGATCGAGACCATTCTGGTCAACATGGTGAAACCCCGTCTCTACTAAAAATACAAAAAACTAGCTGGGCATGGTGGCGCGTGCCTGTAATCCCAGCTACTTAGGAGGCTGAGGCAGGAGAATTGCCTGAGCCAAGGAGGCGGAGGTTGCGGTGAGCCGAGATCGCGCCATTGCACTCCAGCCTGGGCAACAAGAGCGAAACTCCGTCTCAAAAAAAAAAAAAACAAAAACACCCGGCCGGGCACGGTGGCTCAAGCCTGTAATCCCAGCACTTTGGGAGGCCGAGGCGGGTGGATCACGAGGTCGAGAGTTCGAGACCATCCTGGTCGACATGGTGAAACCCCGTCTCTACTAAAAATACAAAAAATCAGCTGGGCATGGTGGCGTGTGCCTGTAATCCCAGCTGCTCAGGAGGCTGAGGCAGGAGAATTGCCTGAACCCAGGAGGCGGAGGTTGCGGTGAGCCGAGATCACGCCATTGCACTCCAGCCTGGGTAACAAGAGCGAAACTCCGTCTCAAAAAAAAAAAAAACAAAAAACAAAAAACAAAAAACAAAAAACAAAACAAAACAAAAAGAAAAGAAAAGGAAAAAGAACCACTCCCTCGGGCCATTTGCAGTGGCTCACCCCTGTAATCCCAGCACTTTGGGAAACTGAGGCGAGTGGATCAGAGGGTCAGGAAATAGTACCAGCCTGGCCAACACAGTGAAACCCCATCTCTACTAAAAATACAAAAAATTATCCAGGCATGGTGGTGGGCACCTGCAGTCCCAGCTACTTAGGAGGCCAAGGCAGGGGAATCGCTTGAACCTGGAGGCAGAGATTGCAGTGAGCCAAGAGCTTGCAATTGCACTCCAGCCTGGGTGACAGAGCAAGACTCCATCTTAAATAAATAAATAAATAAATAAATAAATAAATAATATTTTGTAGAGACAGAGTCTCACTGTGTTGCCCAGGCTGGTCTCGATCTCCTGGCCTTATGCAATTCTCCTGCCTTAGCCTCCCAAAGTGCTGGGATTACAGGTGTCAAACATACTGCAGCCAGCCTGTTTATTGTTTACTCTGACTGTTGTTACAGTTGGAGTCTGGAGAGTGGAGTGCTCTTGTTATCCATGGGGCATAGAGTTCACTCTGCTAACAATTATTAACAGTATTTATTGCATACTTACTCCATATCTCTTTCTCTCTCTCTTGAGGGGTCTCGCCCTGTCACCCAGGCTGGAGCGTAACAGTGCAGTCTCAGCTCACTGCAACCTCTGCCTCCTGGGTTCATACCATTCTTCTGCCTCAGCCTCCCAAGTGGCTGGGATTACAGGTGCCCACCACCATGCCCAGCTAATTTTTGTATTTTTAGTAGAGAGGGGGTTTCACTATGTTGGTCAGCCTAGTCCGGAACTCCTGACCTCATGATCCACCCATTTTGGCCTCCCAAAGTGTTGAGATTACAGGTGTGAGTCACTGTGCCTGGCCACATCTCTGATTTTTCACAATAACTTGATCATGTAGGATCTATTGACACCTCCATTTTATAGATGAGGAAATTGAGGTTCAAAGAGGTGAACTCAGCCAAGCAGGGTGACTCTTTTAATTCCAGCACTCTGGGAGGCCAAGTTGGGAAGATTGCTTGAGCCCAGGATTTGGAGACTATCCTGGTCAACATAAGGAGACCCCAACTCCTCAAAAAATAAAAACAAATTAGCTGGGTTGGCTGGGCATAGTGGCTTACACCTGTAATCCCAGCATTTTGGGTGGCTGAGGCAGGTGGATCACCTGAGGTCAGGAGTTTGAGACCAGCCTGGCCACATGGTGAAATGTTGTCTCTACTAAAAATACAAAAACTTGCCAGGCAAGGTGATAGGTACCTATAATCCCAGCTACTCAGGAGGCTGAGACAGGAGAATTGCTTGACTCAGGAGGCGGAGGTTGCAGTGAGCCGAGATTGTGCCACTGCACTCCAGTTTGGGTGACAAGAGCAAAATTCCATTTCAAAAAAAAAAAAAAAAAATTAGCTGGGCCTGATGGCATGTGCCTGTAGTACTAGCTACTCAGGAGGCTGAAGTGGGAGGATTACTTGAGGCAGGGAGTTCGAGGCTTTAGTGAGCCATGACTGTGCTATTTCAGTCCAGCCTGGGCAACACAGACCCCCATCTTAAAAAAAAAAAGAAGTGAACGTTCACTTGACCTGTCAGAGACAAGAAGTAGCAAAGGTTGGGTGTAACTCGGATATCTGTCTTGCTGGTGGGAGGGTAGGGGTCACTGGGTCTGTTACTGATGTATTATGTTTTTTGGTTTTTTTTTTAGACAGGGTTTTGTTCTGTTGCCCAGCCTGGAGTGCAGTGGTGCCATCTCAGCTCACTGCAACCTCTGCCTCCCCGGTTCAAGTGATTCTCCTGTCTCAGCCTCTGGAATAGCTGGGATTACAGGTGCTAGACCATGCCTGGCTAATTTTTACATTTTTAGTAGAGACGGGGTTTCACCATGTTGGCTAGGCTGGTCTTGAACCCCTGACTTCAAGTTATCTCCCACCTCGGCCTCCCAAAGTAGTGGGATTACAGGCATGAGCCACCGGATGGGGCCCTGATGTATTATCTTTGAAAATTTGGCTGGGCGTGGTGGCTCATGCCTGTAATCCCTGCACTTTGGAAGGCCAAAGCAGGAGGATCATGAAGCCAGGAGTTCAAGAACAGCCTGACCAACATGGTGAAACACCATCTCTACTAAAAATACAAAAATTAGCTGGGCGAGCGCGCGCCTGCAATCCCAGCTACTCAGGAGAGTGAGGCAGGAGAATTGCTTGAAGCTGGGAGGCAGAGGTCACTGTGAGCTGAGGCCACTGCACTCCAGCCTGGTGACAGAGCAAGACTCTATCTCAAAAAAAACATAACAAACCCCAAAAAACTGCTTTTTTTTTTTTTTAGGGGTTAGTAAAGGAGGTAAGTGTAGTGGTTTGGAACTGGATAGATTTGGGTTCGAATCTTAGTTCCAGTACTTTCTGGCTGTAAGATTTACTGGACTGATTTCCCCTTAGGGAGCCTCACTTTCTAAATCTGTAAATGGGGATAACAACAGTAACTCCTCCTCGTTGGGATTTTATGAGGATTAAATGAGAAGATGCCCCTGACAATGCTTGGCTCGGTGCCTGGCACATCATGAACACTCGGAATTCGGGAGCTGTTATTCGAACAATGATGATGATTATTATTGCTGGACCACACTGCTCCCAGAGGGTTACAATATCCGTTGGGGAGCTGCACTGTCCGTAGGCAAGGTTACATAATTCTCTGGGGTTTTGCTGGGGGGAGCTTCCCTGGAGCCCTTGGTCTCCCCAGGGAGGAGGAGGCCTGAGATTTCTTTTTGAGGCGCCTGTCTAAGGCGGACTAGGTACCCCGCAAGGGAGGAGGCGAGGAGGCTGAGATTGAAACCCTAGTTACCGGGAGCCTGAGCTCCGCAGGCCTTCCCTATCTGTGACTTGTCTGTGTCTCCCCGCCCATCTTCTGGATTTGTCGCCCCCCCGCCCCCGCCCCTCAGACCCGCCCGCCACCCATACGCCTCTCCTTTGGAACCTCAGAGTCTTTTTTGAGACCCTGTTTCCAGGCTATGCTTGCGAATATTGCTTCTATTTGGCCTCTACCGTGCTGCCGGCTCCCAGGCTCCATCAGATCTGCACAGTGATTTCCTGTTTCCCAGAGCCTCAGGCTTCATCCTTCCCTCCCGACTGAGGCAGAGAACGGAGACTTAACGCTTCCCTACGCGCTGGCTTTCGATCTTAAGCCCTGTCTTCCTCTTTCCTGGCGACCCTCAGTGCCCCTTGGGAGCACATTTGTTCAGACTTTGGTCGCCCCCTCATATCCTGGCCCCGCCTCCGGAACCCCCGGTCCTAGTGGTGGAGGTGGGGGGACCTCCGGCGCCAGCTCTGTCCCCGGGACAGCTGCAGCCTGGGCACGGTGGCGGTGGGGGCTTCCAAATGCATTCTCTCTGGTCACTTCCTCCCCAGCTGGACTGGGGCTATCAGGAAGACCAAGACCCCATCCCCGCAACAGCGGAGGGCACAGCCGCCTCCCCATTTCCGTGGCTGGGAAATGCATCCCACCCATTCCACCCCACCCCTGGACAGCTGCCCCCATTCAGGCTCAGGGTTGGGGGGGCTGGGTAAAACTAAGCTGGGAAATGCTGTGCTCTTGATCATCCTTCAAGGGCCCGACCCCGCCCCTCTGCAGGGAAGATTCTGCCCCCACCCCACAAAAGTTTCTGACCCCTATTTCCTCGGAAGGGCCCCCCGTTTTTCCATACAGGCTCCCAAAAGAAACTCTGGAGCTCGCAGTGAGCAGTAGAGGAGGAGGGGCAGCAGGTAGCGAGTGCCAAGGACTTAAGTTATCTGCAGACTTGGAGCCTCAGACTAGGGTCACGACCTGCGGGACCCCATCCCACCCCCGCCCCCTCCTTCCTCCCTCCCCCGCTGCGCGGCCCCTTTAAGCCCAGAGCCGGCCGGTCCTCAGTGGCTGAGCGCCGGAGAGCGTGTGTGTGAGTGCGCCGGGAGGGGGCGGGCGCAGTGTCTCCATGGCGACGCGGCGGTGACGTCGCCGGCCGGGGGGCGTGGGCGTCCCGGCCCCGGAGTGCGATATTAACCCGGGAGGCGGCGGCGGGGAGGGGAGAGGCTCTGAGAGGCGAGGCCGGGTGAGGCGGCGAGGGCGGCCCGACGGGCGCGGGACGGGACGGGGCAGCGCGGGCGCCGGGAGCCGCGGCCCGGAGTCGGGGCGCTTCGCCCCGGGCCCCCAAGCATGAAGACCCCGGCGGACACAGGTGGGGGCGGGGGCAGCACGTGTGGGGGAGACTTGTTGCCCCGGGAAACCGAACGGAGAAACTTTGGGGGGGCTGAGGGGTCCAGGGGAGCCCGAGTGATCACCAGTTCTGGGGGACCCCTCAAGCACTCGAGACCTGTTGCTTCTCGTGGCGCGAGCGGGGTTGCTGCCTGGGACCCCCGATTCCTGCCTCCGGGCAGAGTGGTGTGGGTGCTGCGGCTCTTGGTCCTGTATCCCTATTGGGACCCCGCAGGCTGGGCTTTCTCCTACTCCCGGGATCACGGGGGTGGCGGGGTCCTTCCCCTCTGCTCTTGTCACGTTGCACTCTGGGGGCCGGGACGTGTGCGGGCGGGAGGGGGGGCTCGTCCACTGGGCCCGCTATCCCTGGTTCTGCGCTGCGCGGTCCGGCTGGTGACCTTCACCGCGGCGCGTGCCCCGCACCAGGTTAGCGGGGGATACGGGATGGCCTCTAGGAGGAGGGCGTGAGTGGGGAGCCCGGGACTCGGGGTCCGGGCTGCGCCGCCCCTCCCCCGCCCGCCTCTGTCGGCTCCTCGCTCCCCCGCCCTCGCCGAGTCGCAAAGTTCCAAAGCGCAGCCCGAACGTTCGAAAAAGGAACTTTTTGTTTCCGACCTTAGAACGCGCGGCTTTAAGGTGGCTCCGGGGAGACCTGGGTACCCTCTTTCCGCACCACCAGGGCTCCGGGGTTGTGGAGGGTGGGAAAGGTGGGGAGAGACGCAGAGGCTCCCCCCTTATCCCCCCTCCCGGATCCAGCTCTTCTCTTTCAGCGGGCCGTCTCTTCCCTCCGCCCCTCTCTTCCCCGCCAACTTGCTCCTCCTTAAGGGGCCAAGGTTCCCCTCCCCCTCGATCGGCGGGCGGGGGGCAGCGGGATTAACCCCCCTCCCACTCGGACTTTTCCCCCTCCCCTCCCCCGCCGCCCCCGGGCTCGCGCGGGCTGGACTTTGCGCCCAAGCGCGCAGGGGGAGGGGTCCCAGCCGCCCCCTGCCCGTCTACCCCGTCGGAATCCGGCCCGGGGCGGGGACGGGGGAGGGGGAAGGGGGCCGGGCGCCGCTGTTCAAACTTGTTTCCTTCCCCCGGCGGCGGCAGCGGCGGCGGCGGCTCGGGCTCCAGTGTGCGGGTGTGTGCCCCGACCGGCCCACCCACCCCACCCCATCCCCACCCCATCTCCATCCCCCTGCTCGGCGGGTGGGGGCGGCTTAATCTTAAAGGGCTCGGAGCTGGGCTCCGGCCCAGGCGCCAGGGGATTGGGACCGAGGAGGGGCCCTGGAGGTGGGGCCGGGGTGCAGAGTGCGGTAGGGTCAGTCACGTGCGTCCCAAAGACTCCCCCAGCTTCCACTAGCTCCTGGGCCGCTGGGCCCTGGGGGCAGCAGGAGCCTCCCCTGGTCCGAAGAGGAGGCCAAGGCGCCCAGACAACCCCGCCTCATCTTCCCTCCCTGCTACCGGCCTTGGCCTGATGGGACCCGCTGGTCGTTTCCCCAACTCCGTCTGAGGGCCGAGCAGTGTGTGGGTTCTCCGGCGGGGGTGGGGGGGAGAAGAGGGGTGGGAGGCCTGGAATGGCCTCCAATCGGTGCATCTTTCCATCTGCCTCCTGGCCTGCCGCTCCGCACCCCTCCATCCGATCCTCCATCCCGGCCCCTCTCCTCTGCCGTGGCTGTTTCCCACTTCCTGTTTTCTTCCCGGCTCTGGCGCCATAGAGGGCTGCCTGGAGTGGGGGAGGTAGTGGGGCCCCCCAGGAGGCCGGCGTGTTCTTCCTCTACCATCACTCCTCCCTTCCGACCCTCATGGTCCCTTAGAAAAAGTTTGGGCTGTCACGTGAGGTTGCGGGGGTGCCCAGGAGTTTTGTCCCCCCAGGCTTGCAGTCTGTCTGGGAGAATCCCTACCCCGCCTCTGTTGGACCCAGGTGTGCTTCTGGGACCTCGCCATCTCAGCCCTTCCTGTCTGTCTGCTGCCACTCTGCGCCCTGTCTCGCAGTCTTCTGAACCCTTCTCTCTATGTGTCTGCTCTCTCCCTGCCTCACTGGCCCCCATATTCCTGAGGTCCCAAACCCCCAAGCTTCCTCTGTGCAGGTCTGGTGTTTCCCTGTTTTAAGCACGTGGACGCATACACAACACACTCACACATGCTCCCCTTGCCCGTGCCTGGCTCCTGGCTCCAAGGCCTGGGGAACAGAGCCCCATTGAGACACCCTGACGTCACCCCCTCTTCATTCTCCCCCCCAAAGCCAGGAACAGGCCCTCATGTATGCTGTGTCCGATTAGGAAAGCCATCCTTGGGGTGGGCCTGGGAGTGGGGAAGGGTCCCTGCCAGGAGTGGGAGCCAGGGTCCAGACCCTGGAGGAGGGGTTGCTCAGGGAAGGGCTTTAACAAGGGGGCCTGGGACAGCTCCCAGAATGCGGCTTGAGGCCTTTCCAGAGCCCCCCCACCTCCTTTCCGAGTTCCCTTTGTGTTGCATGTAGTCTCTCTCACTCCCTCTCTTCTGCAAAGTTTATTTTTAGCCTCCTGCTCCCCCGCTCCCAGGACTGTCGCTGCACACACGTTGCCTGGTTACCGGGACACGGAGGCTGGGGCGGGTGGGCTGGGAAGGGTGGCTTTAATTTTGGGGGGAGGGTGGAAGTCAGTACATCCCCCACCCCCAGACTGATGTCTCAGGGGCTTCAGCCCCCCTTCTGGTTCTAGAGCCAGATTGGGGCTGAGGTGGAAGTAGCGTGGAGCTTGGTGGCCTGAGAGGGGCTGGGAGCTTTATGGAGGGGATATGAGGGTCCATGGAGCTGATGGCTTGGTCACCTGGGTTCTGAAAGACCCTGTGCCTTGCAGGAGACCTTGTGATCTGAACTCTCTAGAAGGGTGAGGATAATGGGGTGAACACCTAGATTCCCAAGAGAGCAATGGGGCTCTGGAGTCCCTGAAAGGGGTCGTCAAAGGCTGTCACTTTTAAATGAACAGGGGCTGTTGGTGCTGGTCTGTGAACATTGGGAGGTCATACCCTGGTAGAAGGTGAAAGGCTGGAATATCTGAATGGGGCAGGGACTCCATGGGGTATGCGATACTGCAGCCGAGTCTGGCCAGGATTTGGGGTCTGAGTCCCTGTGGGGGACGGTGAGCTCTGGATTTGGAGGGGGTGGTCCCTGTGGGAGCAGGAACTACTGATTCCGAGTTCCCAAGGGGAATGATCCCCTATTGGATTCCAGACTGGGGTGGAGTCTTTGAGGGTGGCTGTGTTGCCTGGAGGCCTGGTTGATACCTGCTGACCCCTGCAGCCTGACTGGATTTGGGAGCCATCCATCTCTAGCCGCCACCTTGGCCTTCTCTCTCTGGTGGCACCAGGGCCCCTGCCCTGCGTCCCCCCTCCTTCCCTTCCTCCCCTTTCCCTCCTCCCACCCCTCCATTACCGGCTGCCTGGTGCTGAATTATTGATGGCCCCTGATTACCCGGGGGTTTGGGAAATGACAACAACCGCAACCCCCCAACCCCCCACCCCAGGCTGCCCACCCCCTCCAGAGACCAGCCAGCCCACCACCAACCTCTACCCAAGGTTAATGCTGGGGGCGGGCGGGCGGGCAGGCAGGTGGGCAGGGAAGGAGCCGAGGATGAGAAGACAGAAGTGGGCAGAGGATGACAGCTCCAGAGTGCCTGCTCAAGCTCCAGGCCTGGGCTGGGCCCTCCAGCCAGGTGGGGCCTGGATGCCTGGGTATGGGGAGGGCAGTGTAGCTCAGAGGGTCCAGGGCTTGTGGCGGGGGGCCTCTCAGACAGTCTGGGTTTCACTCTCCAGGGAAGACAGAAGCCTCTGTGTGTGCAGGCGCTGACCTCATCGGCAACCAGTCACCCCACCCCTCCTGGTCCTTTTAAGAAAAAAAAAAAATCTTCCTCTCAGGTCCTGGGGTGGGAGTAGGGGCTCTGTTGGATCTTCGGGGGAAGACAGTGCATGCTTCTAAGGAGGAGATCAGAGGAGCTGGGGTGGTGCATTTGTCTCTGGATGGGAGTGGGGGTAAGCTGGGGGGCTGCACCCCAACCCGGCTGGCCACGTGTGCCCCTTCCTGCCCCTCCCCCACTGGCAGCCCTGCCCGCCAGCCTGGCTTGGTGCCTGGCCCCCTGGCACTGGCCCCGGGACCCACCGCCGACGGTTTCCTGTTTCTCCCGGTGTCGCTGGAGTAGGCCTCAGCTTCCCCTCCCCCCAGCTCCTGTCTAGCCCCTCACATGCAGACAGACAGACACACACTGTCTTCTCTTAAATCAGGTCTTGACTTGGCTGAGGCAAGACAGATTTCCCCATGTTGAAGGTGGGGCAGAGGTGGGCCCTGGGATGGGACCCAGAGCCCTGGACTTGGCATCCTGACCCCAGGCCACTCCCTGCCTCCCGTCCCCAGGGTTTGCCTTCCCGGATTGGGCCTACAAGCCAGAGTCGTCCCCTGGCTCAAGGCAGATCCAGCTGTGGCACTTTATCCTGGAGCTGCTTCGGAAGGAGGAGTACCAGGGCGTCATTGCCTGGCAGGGGGACTACGGGGAATTCGTCATCAAGGACCCTGACGAGGTGGCCCGGCTGTGGGGCGTCCGCAAGTGCAAGCCCCAGATGAATTACGACAAGCTGAGCCGGGCCCTGCGGTGAGGATGGGCTGGGGACCCCTGAGCACATGTGGACGGCCCCCACGGGTTGCATACCCCCTGGCTCATGGGAACAGGCATTGGGGTCTGACCCCTGGCTTTGCCAAATCCTAGCTATGAAACTTGGGCCACTCCTAGCTCCTCCCTGAGCCCCTTGGTAACACAGAGGTATCCTGAGAAGAGAATACAGCCATTAATGGATCCTCTAGTTCTGCCTTAGACCCGAGGAGAGAGCTGGTACCTACCCTCTGGGCACTTGGTTTCTCTTCTATGGCCCATGTTCCTTGGTGGCCCTTTGGGAACCACACCTAAGTGCGTGTCAAGGTGTGGATGCTAGACCTGGATCCCGTGTACCTGACCCTCCCGTTGGCATCTCTGTACCCACAGCTATTACTATAACAAGCGCATTCTGCACAAGACCAAGGGGAAACGGTTCACCTACAAGTTCAATTTCAACAAACTGGTGCTGGTTAATTACCCTTTCATTGATGTGGGGTTGGCTGGTGAGTACCGGGGATGGTTGGTGTGGAGAGGGTCTGTGTGCCCCTCCAGGCTAGGCCAGGGGCCTTGACATGTCTCCTTTCCCCTGCCAGGGGGTGCGGTGCCCCAGAGTGCCCCGCCAGTGCCGTCGGGCAGTAGCCACTTCCGCTTCCCTCCCTCTACGCCCTCCGAGGTGCTGTCCCCCACTGAGGACCCCCGCTCACCACCTGCCTGCTCTTCATCCTCATCATCCCTTTTCTCGGCTGTGGTGGCTCGCCGCCTGGGCCGAGGCTCAGTCAGTGACTGTAGTGATGGCACGTCAGAGCTGGAGGAACCGCTGGGAGAGGATCCCCGGGCCCGACCACCCGGCCCTCCGGATCTGGGTGCCTTCCGAGGGCCCCCGTTGGCCCGCCTGCCCCATGACCCTGGTGTCTTCCGCGTCTACCCCCGGCCTCGGGGTGGCCCTGAACCCCTCAGCCCCTTCCCTGTGTCTCCTCTGGCCGGGCCTGGCTCCCTGCTGCCCCCTCAGCTCTCCCCAGCTCTGCCCATGACGCCCACCCACCTGGCCTACACTCCCTCGCCCACGCTGAGCCCTATGTACCCCAGTGGTGGCGGGGGGCCCAGTGGCTCAGGGGGAGGCTCTCACTTCTCCTTCAGCCCTGAGGACATGAAACGGTACCTGCAGGCCCACACCCAAAGCGTCTACAACTACCACCTCAGCCCCCGCGCCTTTCTGCACTACCCTGGGCTGGTGGTGCCCCAGCCCCAGCGCCCCGACAAGTGCCCACTGCCGCCCATGGCGCCCGAAACCCCACCGGTCCCCTCCTCGGCCTCGTCATCCTCTTCTTCTTCTTCCTCTCCATTCAAGTTTAAGCTCCAGCCGCCCCCACTCGGACGCCGACAGCGGGCAGCTGGGGAGAAGGCCCCAGCCAGTGCTGACAAGAGCGGTGGTGGCGCAGGCGGGCTGGCCCCACCGCCCCCCCCACCTCAGATCAAGGTGGAGCCCATCTCGGAAGGCGAGTCGGAGGAGGTGGAGGTGACTGACATTAGTGATGAGGATGAGGAAGATGGGGAGGTGTTCAAGACGCCCCGTGCCCCACCTGCACCCCCCAAGCCCGAACCTGGCGAGGCACCCGGGGCGGCCCAGTGCATGCCTCTCAAGCTGCGCTTTAAGCGGCGCTGGAGTGAAGACTGTCGCCTGGAAGGGGGTGGGGGCCCCACTGGGGTCTTTGAGGATGAGGGAGAGGACAAAAAGGTGCGTGGGGAGGAGGCCGGGGGGCCCCTCACCCCAAGGCGGGTGAGCTCTGACCTCCAGCATGCCACGGCCCAGCTCTCCCTGGAGCACCGAGACTCCTGAGGGCTGTGGGCAGGGGACCCACGTTCCCCCCCACCCCCCATGCTTCTTTTGCTGCCTTAAGCCCCCTGTGCCCTGGAGGTGAGGGCAGCTCTCTTGTCTCTTCCCTGCCTCCTCCCTTCCCCCTCCCCACATTTTGTATAAAACATTAATTTCTTTTTTTTAAATGGTGGGGGTGGGTGGGTGCCCAGGGCTAGGGGCTGTTCCCTGTCTCTGTGGGTTTCTAAGCTCTGGGCAAAGTGGTGGTAGCGGGGAGGGAAGGGGATGTTAGGGGGGCCACCTCCATTCTGGGGAATTTATATTTGAATTGAGGCTCTGGCCTTAACACCCAGGAACTTTTTTATTACAATCGCTTAGGAAGTAAAGCCTTGTTGCCCTCCCTGTTCTCTGCCTCTTGTACCTTTCCCCCTGTGCCCCACCCCTAGCCCTCCTCAGCCCCAGCCCTGCCTGCCCTGCCCCTCCAGGGGGCCATGAGTGCCTAGGTTTCTCATATCCCACAAGGTCACAGCAGGGGAGGGAGGGACAGTTTGATGATGAACCAAAAATTCCATGTGTTGGGGGAGGGGGGGTGGAGGGCGGTGAGGGGTACCACCCATGGGCCACAAATCTTAACAAGTGCCTGCTATCCCTCTCCCACTCCACCCCTGCACCCATCCAGCCCCTTCACCCCCAGCTGCTCCTAGGACTGGCCCATGGGCAGGTGGGTGGGGGGATGGGAAGGGGGTGCCCTGAAACCAAACTGGAAGCCCCCTCTGCCTCCCAGCTGGGGCCTCTGGGGTGGGATGGGAGGCTGTGGTCAAGCCTTATTCTGTATTGGGGACTGAGGGTGGGGGGAGTAGAGGGGCCGCTGGAGAATGTATTCAAAACAATAAAACTTTGGACCTTTGGATGCGGTGATGAATGTCCTGGGTGCTAGGTGCAGCACCTCCAGGCCACAGCCTTTGCTTGATTCTGAAGGAGGGGCCCCAGCCTGGCTCTAGTCTGTCTGTGGCCGGGTTGGTATAGAGGGCCTAACCCTAATCTGAATGTGCCAAATCCAGGCCTGGGAAACCATCTCCTGACCTCAGAGGCACAAAAGCCCCAGAGCTTGATGAGAGTGGTCTTGGGTATGCGTTGACTTCATCTGACTGCTCCTCTGTTCCATGGGGATCTTGTCCTTGGAAGCTCTTACTGTTCTTTGCAACAACTTCGATGCCCTTGTTTTTCGATTGCCTGGATGCCTTCCCTTTTGTAGCTGAGAATTCTTCCCATACCCCAGGTACCCAGTGAAGACCGGGAGCTCCCTTTGGCACTGCCCCTAGTACCCTGCCCACACCCCTCATGTTGCTGAGTTCAGCTGGGAGTTCTTTGGAGACCAGCCTGCAGTGTTTCTTGAAATGTAGACCTTGCAGGGTAACTTAGTGATCTTTCTGGTCCAGCCAGGGGAATACCCCCAACCAGCACGAAGTGAAGGGTCTGGCTTATTAGTCATCAATGCTGTTGACTTACTTAGTGTCCAGTACTTAGGAGCTACAGTGCTGTTGCTCTCAGTATTCAGTAAGGTAGGGGCAACCAGTGACTTGCCAAGGCCCTATGGCCAAGCCGGGACTTAAAAACCCATATTCTTTCAACAGCTCTTGACTTTTTCTTCCTAACACCAAGATAGTTGGATCCAGATCAGGCTTTCAGGATCAGAGGATCTTTATGAGATGAACTCATAAAGCTATAGAAGCTGAGATTGGAGAGCTTGAATCCGGGATGAAAGAATTAGGAAGAATAATCTAGGTTGGAAGTCCCCTTAGAGACAAGCCAGTCTCTCCTGCAGGTGAGGTGCCTGAGGCCCAGAAAGGGGAGGGGGTTTCCCTGAGGCCACACAGCTGCTAAGAGATGGATTGGCAATTGAGGGCTCGTTGGACTGGCTTTGCCAGGAAACTCCACCCTGTGCAACCCTGAGGGGGAAGGAACATTGACTGGCAACTGCTACCCACTTGCATCTCATTTCATGCCAGCCAGGGTGGGTGGTCCCAGATGATGTTGGTTGGCAGGGAAGAGAGGATACAGGGCTAGATACTGGCAGGAAACCGAGGCTCCTGAGGCGGCCTGCGGGAAACTGCTCCCTCTCCTGGGTGATGTAAGTCATACTCTGGGGCGGGGGCCACTGGGCTATTTCTGGAAGCTGGGATGAGACATGTCTCCTGGCAACAAAGATGCAGCTGAGTTGGTGGTGGTGGGATGATGGAGAAGGGGATGTTGTCACTCAGGGGAGGAGAGGACCCTGACTACTGGCCTCCTCCCCTGACCCCAGTGCCTTTAAATCACCTGTAACTCACGTGGAATCATAGATGCTCAGCTCCCTAACTGCTGTCCAGGTCAGACCACAGCCCTACCGGACCAGTTGCCCCAGATTCTGGCTGTGTAGGATGTCACAGGTGGCATTTGGCCTTGAAAACTCCAGCAGCTCCTCTAACCTTTAATTGCCCACCAAAATCCATTAGCAGACTTGAAATGTTTCTGCAAGAAGACACCCTTGGTCCTGTCCATATCCTCTGAGATCGTTGCTTCCAAGTAGAAAGCCCTTTACAGATGCTCTCAAAGCACTTCACAGATTAATCTCATCAGAGATCTCCCTGCATTGTACGTGTAGCCCCAGTATATCCACAAACCCTCAAAGCCCCTTCTCGATGCTTCCTAACCATTTCTCACCCCTTCAGGTCACTCAGAGATCCCCTTGGTCACTAGTAATTTCTGTCTCCCATAGACCTTTTTTTTTTTTTTTTTTTTTTTTTCTTTTTTTCTTTTCTAGACAGAGTCTCACTCCATTGCCCAGGCTGGAGTGCAGTGGTGCAATGTCAGCTCATTGCAACCTCAGCCTCCCGGGTTCAAGTAATTCTTGTGCCTCAGCTTCCCAAGTAACTATGATTACAGTGCACCACCACGCCTGGCTAATTTTTTTGTGCGTAGAGATATGGTTTCTCCGTGTTGGCTAGGCTGGTCTCGAACTCCTGTTTCTCTGTGTTGGCTAGGCTAGTCTCGAACTCCTGACCTCAAGTGATCCACCTGCTTTGACCTCACAGAGTGCTGGGATTACAGGCGTGAGCCACCGCCCCCAGCCACCCACAGACCTTTTAACAGACACCCTAATTCCCCTCAGGCTTCTCCACCCAGTAATTATCCTCAGGTCACTAAGCTCATCAAAGACCCCTTCACAGCTCTAGGACTCCTCTTAGCCCTTCCAGACACCATACGCCTCTCTCAGACGTTTACAACCCTTCCTAGCATTCCTCTATGAACATTCTCACCCTCTCACAAACATCCTGATCGATCTCAGACCGTCACCCTCAAACTCCCACGGATCCCAATCCCCTCGTGGCGGTTGCCCACGCGCAGCCCACGGCGCATGCCCCACGGGTTCTGGCGGTTAAGTAACCGCCGCTATCCCGCCCCATTTCGCCGCCCTTGAGCCTTGTTGGTCGGGTGTCGGAATCCCTAGGCCAAAGGGCTTGACTCAAATTTTTACTTTTTGACTCAGCGCTGCCATCAGAGGGCAGTAGGCCCCATTTGGTAGTGAAACTACAACTCCCAGAGATGCCCGCGCCGAGCTGCGCGTGGTGCAGCCGGCTGCTTTGTGAAGGGAGCGGAAGTGTGTCCGCACTTTGCCTTCTGGGTAGTGTAGTCTCAACAAGCTGTCGCCACCGTCCCCCGCGGTTGTGTCCGCTGGGAATTGCAGTTAAGAAAAAAACTGAGAGAACAGGACTTTCTTCTGGCTTCAGAAAGGACAGGACAGTTAGTAGGAATACAAGCTCGGATTAACGTGAAGTCCAGACTCCGTTTCCCGCCATTCCAGGAGGCGGGAGGGGCTGAGAACACTTTCATTCTAGTTCTAAGTATTTCTCCGGGACAAAGAGACACACATATACGTAGGAACTCTTGTTTCCCAGAGCCCTTTGGGGGCTACTCTCCTTCGAGTATTAATCGATAAATAGGACGACTCACTGAGTACGCAAAACCTGAGGCTACTCTTTGCAGCCGGCTTGTTTTTGGCTTTTTGGGATCCTGTAATTTAGGAAGCAGAGGACCCAAAAGAGAGTGGGAGGCCCGGTGCCCTGGCGCAAGCCTGACATGCCAGCACGTTGGGAGGCTGAGGCAAAATCGCTTGAACTCAGGAGTTGGAGACCGGCCTGGGCAACATGTCGAAGCCCTCCCCTCAACCACCACCCCCAAAAAACAAACCAAACGAAAGCAAATTAGCCAGGCGTGGTGGTGCACGCCTGTAGTCCCACCTACGTGGGAGGCTTGGGCGGGGGGATTGCTTGAGCCTGCAAGTTCGAGGCTGCAGTGACCTATGATCGCACCACTCCCCTCCAGCCTGGGCAACGTAGCGAGATCTTGTCTCAAACAAAGCAAAAACGGAATGGGGGTTCAAGACAGAAATTATTGTTTTTGTTTGTTTCTTTGTTTTTGAGACGGGTCTCGCTCTTGTCGCCCAGGCTGGAATGCAGTGGTGCGATCTTGGCTCACTGTAACCTTCGCCTCCAGGGTTCAAGCGATTCTCCTGCCTCAGCCTCCTGAGTAGCTGGGATTATAGACACCCGCCACCACGCCGGGCTAATTTTTGTACTTTTAGTAGAGACGGGGTTTTGCCATGTTGGCCAGGTTGGTCTCGAACGCCTGACCTCAGGTGATCCGCCCATTTTGGCCTCCCAAAGTGGTGGGATTACAGGCGTGAGCCATCGAGCCAGGCCCAGAAATTATATTTCAATCTTTTTAATGCTCCAGTCAGCTTCCTGGTGCTAACCACATTGCTAGGAAAAGCTAAACTGTATTCGACGACTAGTGTTCTGAGAAAGCGCCGAAAACTTTCTTTTCCGAATCCTTTGCAGAGTTGGGGGGGGGGGCAAGAGAGGGGACATCTTTTCTTTCATAATCACCTGGAACTTAAAGGTGCTTGGCTCCATTTTCCAGCAGTCCTTGATCGATCTCTGCTCTTTCGTAAAGAAGGACCTGGGGCGAGGAAGAAGGCGCTGAAACACTTTTGAGTCTCTCCAGGGAACTGCAGCAGCCTCTAAACTTTTGCTTACACGCCCCCAATGGTGGCCATTGGACTCCGCTTCCCGGCAAGCCTCTGCAGACTGGCCTTACAAAAGGTCAGGTCTGGACTATTCCCCAGCATGCTTGGAACTCTTAGGCGATCCCGCCCCCTCAGTCAATGGGAAGGATGCCTGGAACTCCATTTCCCAGAACACACCAGGGCTCTCTGTGGCAACTGCTCTGAAGCTTTGGTGTTGACTACACTTCCCGGCAGGTACTGCGGCCTAGCGTACCTGGGAAGGGGAGCGTGAAACCTACTCCATTTCCTCGCCCATCTCCGGAACTGCAGTAGCCACTTGGGGCTTAGAAACCACCTGGGACTCCATTTCCCGGCGTGCTCTAAAAAAAAAAAAATCTCTTTACACCTGCAATGCGGTGAGGGCGTGGCGACGACTCCATTTCCCGGCTTGCTTCACGGCCGGAGATCCGTAGGTTCGCGCGCGCCGAGTCAATTTCCCAGAGCGCACAGGGCTCTGGGACGCATACACAGCCAATAGACTGCGTGAGTGGACTCCGTTTCCCAGCGGCATCAGGCTCTCTGCTTCCCAAAGTCCTTCAGGGCTCCCTGTCGTTCAGTCGGCTGACAGATTACCCTGGACTCCATTTCCCGATTTACAGCGCGACCCGTCATTCCCGTGGTACTCTGAGGCTTTTGTGGACTTCATTTCCCGGCGTGCCACGCGGCTATCGGTGCGGACCGAGGGCGGTGACGGCGGCGCGGACGACAGCCGGACTGCATCTCCCGGCGTGCCCCGCGGCGGGCGCTGGGCCGGAGCCGGAGCCCAAGCCCGAGCGGCGCGGCCTGGAAGAGGCCAGAGCCCG